CAGCCCAAGGTCGTAGCTGCCAGGCCCGGGCTGAGGCCTCCGGTTGAGAGCACCGTCTGCCCGCGGTCCTGGATGTCTGTGGGAGAGGAGGGAGAGTGAGGCAGGGCGCGGGGATTTAACTAGAGCCCAGGAGCTGCGAAGGGAATCAGGGTGGGGCCTGGGAGGAGGCGTCCCTTTGGTCACCTTGCCAGACCCTAAGCTGTTTCACAGGAACGCTCCTCTAAGTCAGACCTCGCTTTGGGTCTGGCACCCATCCCTAACTCCATGCTTCCTCGTCGCTGGTTTCCAGGAAGGGCTGGGAGGCACAGACCCCGACACACACACGCACACACACACGCGCGCGCACACACACACACACCTTCAGTGTACAGTACACGAGATCGGCCAGTGCCTGCATTCAAATGAAGCTCAGTTCCTTGGCGTGTGAAAGCAGAGGAGAGCCTGCTGCCTGTCACCCTGGTTTTTTTCCCCTATCATTCCTGTTCTAGATATAGAAACGGGAACCCCGGGAAGAGGCATGAGTTTCCCATGCTAACACAGGAAGTTGGTGTCATGAAAGGGACAAAATAGGACATCTTTTCTTTTGCCCAGTTGTGTACCCCGTAAACATGCTGTGATCCTAGAGGCGGTGGACCCTGCTGGAGATAAGCACTCGGCTCTCCTCTCCAGATATACTCAGTTTGCAGAGAGGTGACTAGGCAAACCCTCTGCCACGCCGCGTGGCGAGCCATTCCCATTTGCAGGAAACGCCACGTGGCGAGCCATCCCCACTGGCAGGAAACTCACTTCCTAGGGCAGGCTTGAGGAAGACCCTCCAGGCACCCTTGAAAGGAGCTGCGGATGAGCTGTCTTATTCCTGGCTTGCAAGCCCTGTACCCAGGCAGTGGTCTAGGTGTGACTGAGTCGGGCCGGCACAGCAGGCTCTCACCACCAGTGGATGGCTTTCGTTATTTTCCTCTTTCTGTGCTAAGACACCATGGCCAAGGCAACTTCCAGAAGAAAGAGCGTATTGAGAATTTAGAGTTTCAGGAGACCATCATGGCAGGGGCGTGGCAGCAGGCAAGCCGGCCTGGAGCGGGAGCTGAGAGTCACGCGTTGGAGGAGATGACGGAGAGAGAGGCAGAGAGCTAGAGAGGGTGTGGGCTTTTGACACCTCAAATCCCACCCCTAGTGGCACGCCTCCTGATCCTTCCCAAACAGTTCCCCAACTGGGGACCAAGCTTTCCAGTACACGAGGCTATAGGGGCCATTTTCATTCAAATGACCCCACTTACCTTCCTAAAAACATCACAGACTGGAGTACAGCTCAGTAGCACAGCACACACAGTGCTCTAGATCTTTACCCCGCCCCCAACCCCTCCTTTCCCCGCTTACACACACTAAAGTGTTTGCATGTACACGCTAATACTCTCATACACAATCTCACATAGTTCATACATTCACACACATCACACACATTTACAGTCACACAAACACACGCGCACACGTATGCACAATACACATCCACACACACGTGTTTTCACTCATATACACACTCAGCTCCACATACTTATATAGTCATACACGCACACTCACACGATCACACACACATTCTCACACCTGTGCACTCACACACTCAGATACACATGTACGCAAGTGTGTCACTCTAGCTGAAGGCTCAGCATCGGAGCAAGACTAATCAGGTGATGTTTTCCATCCCCGCATCGATTCCCCAGACTTCCTGAGATGGATGACACGGTGTTTCCCACTGCCGCAGTGTCTGGAACCACACTCCTTAAACTAAGCTCTCGTCCACTGATTTCTGTGTGGAAGCGACGGCCGATTTGTGTTTTGTTTGTTTTAACCCCTGATGTCTTTCAAAGATGCAGTAGAAGCCGGGCGTTGGTGGTGCACGCCTTTAATCCCAGCACTCGGGAGGCAGAGACAGGCGGATCACTGTGAGTTCGAGACCAGCCTGGTCTACCGAGTGAGTTCCAGGACAGGCTCCAAAACAATACAGAGAAACCCTGTCTTGAAAAACCAAAAAAAAAAAAAAAAAAAAAAAAAAGATGCAGTAGAGCCCAGTGACTATTGCCACTCTTTTCAGGGCCCAGGACTTCAGGTAGACGAATGCTCAAGCGTGCTCTCTCAAGAGAACTGACCTTACCCAGACCAGCCCGAGACCCCACATGGGAATTAAATGTGCTGAAGCCGCTGTTCGGCACCGGCAGGATGAAACTCTTGTTATCTTATGATTTTATGTCTCTCCCATGACCTACGTGCGACATACATCTCTACTGATGGAGTAAAACTAGCAGCCCTTTCACTGGTTTGTAGTTAGGACTGGTTAAAACTTAAATGGTGGACAACACTGTGGCTCGCATGCAGCAGGATTAAATATTTCCAGAGTCCACGTCTGTTTAATGAGAACCGCTCCAGGACCTGCCTCCCCGGTGTCTCACTTTGAAGACTCTTCCTCCCCGAAGGCACCCAAGCACGCTATTCCCCGGGTCCCTCCCTTTCTGCACTTTCCTCCTCTGCCCTCCGCACTGGCAGGGGCTCCTTACCTGCTCTCCTCTGGGGACTGTGAGGTGCCATCTCGCATGCATGATTAAGAGGGCATGTTACCTATGAAAGCAAGATCGAGAAGGACAGGTGAGGGCCGTAAGCACAGGCTGGAGGAGAATCCAGGCAGGGAAAGAGTCAGAAAGGACAGATTATACTCGACCGTCTTGACGGGCGGCGCGTGGACCCGGGTGGATAAGGGCTTTCTGGGGGCAGCCCCTGCAATGGGGTGTGCATGGCCAGTGCGGTTTTAATTATCAGGAGGGGATAGCGTGTCCTGGAGGACTCTCCTGACCCTCTGCTCCTGTCTGTTTCCTTCCCCCTCTAGGAGTTAAAGCCGGGGATGTGAAGGGTCTCTTGCCCCTGATGGTACTGATGGTGCTGGTTTTCTTGCTGCTCCTCTTCTGGGAGAACGAAGTGAATGAGGATGTCGTGCTGACATCCTTGGAGCACCTGCACGTGGACTACCCTCCGAACACTGGCCCCGTGAGGTACTGCAACTACATGATACAGCAGAGGGTCATCAGGGAACCCGACCACACATGCAAAAAGCTGCATGTCTTCATCCACGAGAGGCCTCAGAAAATCAACAGCGTTTGCACTTCTTCCAAGAAGGCGACTTGCACAAACCTTACTGGCATTTTCTGCTTCCAGAGTGAGACAAGATTCAGACTGACCGTCTGCCAGCTCATTGATGGCACCAGATACCCTGCTTGCAGGTACCAAATCCACCCTAAAGAGGGGTTCGTTTTTGTCACTTGTGATGACTTAGGACCGGTTAACTTTCAGGGATATGTTGAATAAGTCACCAGCAGCACAGAGACCGAGAACTCTGCGTACGGTGTGGTATAATCCTGTGGGGGAGGAGTGGTCTCTCCTTCCACTGTGGCTGAGGGGCAACCACTGAGTCTGTGTCAATAAAAACATCTCTGCTGCATTAAACCACAGACTCCACACGTGTTTTGAGTTTCCGTTTCTTGTCCTTCTTTGAGTCATTTGGTGAGAATCAACCAAACACCAGACAACCAAAACCCAACTATTGATCTACACAAACAACAGTAAGTCAATATTCTGAAAAACTCAAAATCCTTTTTGTGTAAAATATCTTTATCTCAAAGATCTAGTGCCATAGGACAGACAGGACTAGGCAGAGAGTCAGATCATGTTGTTTAAAATTTTTAATTTTGTGCAAGAAAGATTACACGGCATGAATTTTTTTGAATCACGTTTCTATTTATCTTTAAGAATTTCATATTATGGCCGGGCGAGTTCCAGGACAGCCTCCAAAACAATACAGAGAAACCCTGTCTCGGAAAAAAAAAAAAGAATTTCATATTATGTATGTTTATTTAAGACAGGATCTTATTTTGTAACCCTGAAAGGCCTGAAATTCACTCTGTAGACCAGACTGGCCTCAAGCTCACTGAGATCTGCTCACCTCTGCCTCCCCAGGGTTGGGATTAAAGGCGTGCACCACAATGCCTGGCTCATACAATATATTCTGATATTCATTCCCCTCCTCCAACTCTTCCTAGTTTCTCTCCAGTGCTCCTACTCAGCCCCCTAATTGGTTAGCTAATACAAAGTGGTCAGCCTTGAAACTGTATAGAGCACACACGCACACACCCCCCCCCCAGTAATAACAAAGAAAAAAGAGCCTATCAATTTGAGAATGAGGGAACATTGGAGGGGAGGGAGGGGATTTGGGAGGGGCTGGAGGAAAGGGAAGGAGAAAAGTGACGTAATTCTGTTTTAATTAAAAATGAACTAAAAATATCAGCTTCATGTTCTTTCCCTCTCTTAAAAAACAAACAAAAACAAAACCGTGGAGTCCAATTTGGGCGGGACGGCTACTCCCAAGTGTGAGGCCTGCTGTGAGGTGGGGTTGCTGTCCCCACTGTCACTGAAGAAAACTGAGCTTTCCTCTTCCAGCAGATATCACTTAATAGATTGTTGCCTGGGGGTGGGGCTCGTCTCCACTTCCTGTCAAATGAGCTTATTTGTTTTATCTCTGGTGTGTGTGTCACATTCATGCAGTGCCCACAGAGGCGAAAAGGGGCCACTAACCACCCGACGTTGGCGTTACAGTTGCTGTGAGACTCTCTGCAAGTTCTGGGAACTGAACCTTGGTCTCTCCAAGAGGAGAAAATGGTATTAACTCTGAGCCACCTCTCCAGCCCTCAACCTACTTTTTAAAGAAAAAGCTATTGGGGTCACCTCTTAGGGACTTTTCTCCTTTATTATGTGTTTTTTCAGTTCCTCGTTTGAGAATCTCATACGTATATACGTTGTGTTTTGATCAGATCCGCCCAAATCTCTCTCCTCCAACTCCTCTCATACTCCCTACATTTCTACCCACAGCTTCGTGAATTCCCTTCTTCTTCTTTTTTTTAGATTTATTTATTATGTCTGCATATATGCCTGCAGACCGGAAAAGGATATCAGATCTCATTATAGATGGTTGTTAGCCATCATGTGGGTGCTGGGATTTGAACCTGGGTCCTGTGGAAGAACAGCCAGTGCTCTTAACTGCTCAGCCATCTCTCCAGCCCTCCCTTCTTCTTCAACCCAGAGCCTACTGTCTTGGGTACCACAAAGTTTAATCAGGGGCCATCGGTGTCACCCTGAGTTTGGAACTGACCACCCCAGCATGAACCTGTGGGCCCCCAAGGTCGGCAGGGTGAGGTGTGGCCCGTGAGGGCTTCCCCCCCCCTCCATAGTTGACTGTTAGGGGGGCCTGGCTCTGGTGCACCCGGAACCAGAATGCCACGCTGCTGTGAGCCCGTGACAGCCGTAGCCAAGTTGTGCATAGAGGGTGGTGTTTGGAAACCCCTCTTCCTACCCCACAGCTCTTACACTCTTTCTGCCCCTTTTCCATACTGGTGTGTGAACCCTGAGGGTGATATAAATGTCTCCCCTGGGAATGAGCATTCTTTGTTCCCAGCATCTCCTTCAGCCATGAGTATTTGCATCTGCCTTTGTTCACTGCAAGCAGCCAACAAAGCCTCTGTTTAAGGATGAGAGTAGCCTTTGTCTGTGGGTACAAACACAGGTATTTAGAGGGTGCTTTGACGACGTGTCAGTTCAGCTAAGCAGCCAGATTAGGTCCCCCTCCAGGGCCTAACCTTTCCAGTTATGGTTTAGAGTATCAGGCAAGCCGAAAATCCAATTAGGAAGCAGTGTGCTGCCTCCATAACAGTTATGCTACTATTACACCAATAGGCATGTCTTGCATGGTGGGTTGGTACTACAGTTCACATCTGTGTTAACTCATCAGTACCTCTCCCCACAGCACTCTGAATAGCACTGTCCGGCACACAGACAGCCAGCCAGCTGGGGAGAATCTTCCAATCAGTTCCAGTTTAGTTTCTCCGCAGCTTTCATCCCAAGTATGTGCTGTCTACAGCGATAGGGTGGGTAACCAGGAGAAATGAATAACAGGAGCCTATAGTGTGTGTGTGTGTGTGTGTGTGTGTGTGTGTGTGTGTGTGTGTGTGTGTAGGGGTGAATTATGGAGTCTTAAAGACTTCTCTAAAGATAGATTATAATATGGTTTATATTGTGACTGGTCAGATACCATTTCCCACAAAGACTGTGGAGAGACACAGATATCAATAGCCTCCCTGAGCTAATGTTTTTCCTTTTCAAAATTCTGGAGGAAACAGAGAAGGCTTTGGACTAGACTGCCAACTCCTCCCCCTGTTGATTTTTTTTTTTTTTTTTTTGGTTTTTCGAGACAGGGTTTCTCTGTGTAGTTTTGGAGGCTGTCCTGGCACTCTCTCTGTAGACCAGGCTGGCCTCGAACTCACAGAGATCCGCCTGCCTCTGCCTCCCGAGTGCTGGGATTAAAAGCGTGAGCCACCAACGCCCGGCCCCCCTGTTGATTCTTGATGTTGAATTCTAAATGCTGGCACCCCATGTTCAGGTATGGACATGGTAACCTTACAGCCAGAGAGGAAAGGGAGACAAACAGAGTCACCTAATTCTGGAAATTCTATCAGATCTTCATCAGTAGCCTTCCATCATTAGCCTTCTGTTTGCTAGTTTTCCCATTTATAACGCTAGGTAGACTTTGTGGTTGTTTCCAAGTCTATTGGCCTACAATTCTATTTCTTAGGTAGTGCAGAAAGCAGCTTTGCTTGAGGGAAGGCTTGGGGTTGGGAAACAGTAAGAAATACGGGTAATGGACAGGTAGGGGACAGTTGACGGGGGCCATTAATTCCAAGCGATGTGGTTCCAGTCCTGTGAGCCAGAAGCAGGAGTCAGACAAGTGAGTGGGCCGGAGCGGGGTAAACGATTCCCAAACTCTAAGGAGTTTGTTCTGTCCTGATCTTCTCAGCTGAGAGACCTCAGCTGTTGCCTCAGCCATCTGGACTGAACTCAAGGTCACGGCAGAAGAGGGGGTGCTTCTCTGTGGGCTGCTAACTCTGTCTTCTCAAGACATTAAACCATAACCGACCTGGTCGGTTGATGGGGAGCAGGGTGACCATCCCAAGTCAAGCGCACGCCACAGCCTGGAAGTCGGACCCTGTCCCGTGGCTTCTTCCACACAGGGCAGCCCTTCTGCAGACGAACGCTATTTCCTGTTTCTCTGCTGGAGTCCCATCGTCTGTGTGGCCTTGGGGAGTTTTGAATGTCGCCAAGTGAGCAGAGCACTCAGGGTCTGAGCAGAAAGTGGGCAGCAGTGAGAAGTGAGGGCAGCATCACTAACTCAGGCCTCACGAGGGTGGCATCACTAATTCAGGCCGAGGGCCGCATCACCAACTCAGGCCGAGTGGTCCTTGCTGCTGTTTTCTTCCCCATCCAGGCTTTATTGTCCTTCTTTTTCTCCTCATTACATTTTCTTCCCTCCCTCTAGTTTCTCTGTGCTACTTAAAAAGAAAACTTGAAGACAGATGAATTCCTTTAAGATACAAGGGTAGCGTCTATCTGTAGGAACCCGTCTCATAATATCTTCATTTAATGCAGATCAAAGCCCGCTTCAAATGAATTACGAAATCTTTACATTGTAAGCGCCTGTGCTTGCTTACTGGGCCCAGGTCACCTGATGTGGCCGCAAGGAATGAAGTCAGGTCAGGCTGGGGGGACCACAGCACAACCCAGGCTGTGACAATTGTATGGAGAGCAATCCAACCTTTCACGCCTTTACCAGAAACAGGGTATAAGGGCAATGTCCGGGATCAACACCGTTGCAGTGAAGTTTGCAAGTCATGCAGGGTGCACAAGGTTGATGTCCAAGACCAACTGTCCTGCCAAGCGTCCATGCTTCCGGGACATCTAAGGGGACGTCCGGAGAAACACTACTCGGCCTGAATGGCTTCACTGCTTGGGGGCTTCATCGGTCTCCCGGGAACTGGGAGGCACATTGTGCCCAGGAGCCACGACTCTAACCTGAAAGTCCCATGACACAGGCCAACTCCACCATCCCCACACTGGCATTTTCCTTTGTGTGTACACACACATTTTAAGTGAATGTCTAAGAATCTGAAATCTAGCATAGGCAGCTGTGACCTCTGCTCATGTCAAGTACGGGGTCTCCTGTCCCTTCTATTTTCCTACCATCACCTCACTAAGAAAGAAAGGCCAACAGCAAAGGATTTAGAGGTTCCAGGGAAAAAAATGCTACTGACAAATTCTTCCTGCACCCAAAATCTATCAAGGAACATGTAGACTAAATTCTCAGTAATCTGTCCGTGGTCCTGAGTTACAGTAGATGCCTGCCATTTCGGCATTCTGGGGGCTGGGGCAGGAGGATCAATTATGCTTTTTTGTTTTCTTTTGGTTTTTTGAGACAGGCTTTCTCTGTATTGTTTTGGAGGCTGTCCTGGAACTCGCTCTGTAGACCAGGCTGGTCTCAAACTCACAGAGATCCACCTGCCTCTGCCTCCCGAGTGCTGGGATTAAAGGCCAACGAGTAGCTTAGACTGGCTTGGGCTTTTAGCAAGTTCCAGGCCATCCTGTTTTAAATAGTAAGACCTTGTCTCGTTTCTCGTTTTCTTTTTTTTCTTCTTCTTCTTCTTCTTTTTTTTTTTTTTTTTTTTTTTTTGGGTTTTTCAAGGCAGGGTTTCTCTGTGGCTTTGGAGGCTGTCCTGGAACTCGCTCTGTAGACCAGGCTGGCCTCGAACTCACAGAGATCCGCCTGCCTCTGCCTCTTGAGTGGGATTAAAGGCGTGCGCCACCACTGCCCAGATGAGACCCTGTGTTTAAAGACAAGCAAGGGCCTGGATTGTGACCCAGGGGTTAAGAGCATGTACTGACTGCTCTTTCAGAGGAACAGAGTTCAGTTCCCAACACCCACGTCAGACTGCTTACAATCCTGTGACTCCAGCTCTAGGGAATCCAGTGCTCTCTTCTGGCCTCCGGGACACCTGCACTCACATGCCCACAATTATGCACAGACAGAGAATTAAAAACAATAAAAATAAGCTGGGCGTTGGTGGCGCACGCTTTTAATCCCAGCACTCCAGAGGCTCTAGGGAATCCAGTGCTCTCTTCTGGCCTCCGGGACACCTGCACTCACATGCCCACAATTATGCACAGACAGAGAATTAAAAACAGTAGAAATAAATATTTTTAAAAGTGAGTTACAAAAGATTCGCAGAAATGGGAAATGGATTTGAGCTGGGCGGTGGCAGCACATGCCTTTAATCCCAGCACTTGGAAGGCAGAGGCAAGAGAATCTCTGTGAGTTTGAGACCAGCCTGGTTTACAAAGCTAGTTCCAGGACAGCCTCCAAAGCCACAGAGAAACCCTGTCTTGAAAATAACAAAACAAAACAAGGGATGGAGAGGTGGTTCAGCGGTTAAGAGCGCTGACTGCTCTTCTAGAGGTCCTGAGTTCAGTTCCCAGCAACCACATGGTGGCTCACAACCATCTGCAATGAGATCTGGTGCCCTCTTCTGGCCTGCAGGCATACCTGCAGGCAGAACACTATATACACAATAAATAAATCTTTAAAAGCAAAAAGGGAAACAGACAAATAACATAAGAGATGGTGAAGAAACATGGTTAAGAGGAACTTAAAGGGGAAAGAAGGAAAATAAAAACCATTCTAGCACGAGAGAAAGAGCTGTCGACATAAACAATCATCCTCTGGGGACTCTCACTAAGAAATGTGTAACACTGACACCACCACAGGCTTTTCACACTGACTAGCTGTGCTGTGCCTTCGACAAATGCTGCTGAGGAAGCAGTGTTTGTGCAGGCCCGAGTGTGAAGCTGTGTCCCCTGGCAGTGATCAGAAAACTTAGGGTCAGGGAGTTGTTAGCCTCAGACCGGCATTTGTCACGTGTGTCACCTAACTAGAGATGAAAGGTCAGACACATTGAGACACGAGCAAAGGTGTGCTGGGGGCTTTCAGAAAAGAAAACCATAGGACACTCTGGGTTTGAGGAAACCGTGAGGAAGAGTTTGCAGAAGGGGAAGCAGAGTCCTTCCTGGTCCCTGATTCCGACGGCCGCGTGCACACTCTGCCCGGCTCCCCCCGAGTGTCCCTGGCTCCTTGCTTCCTCAGGAAACCCACACACACGTCTCTCTACCCCTTTCCTGCCCCTCCTTCCCTCGGATAGACCCAATAGCTGAGACTCTGCGGGTAGACACAGTTTCACTCCCAGCCTGACAAGAAGCAGCTGAAAGATCAGCTTGTCAAAGGAGCTGGTAGAGATTTCCTGACTGGGAATGGGTGGGAAAAAAGCCAGGAGATGGGGAAAGGCTCTGTGTGTGCGTGCCGCATTTGCTTACAAGGCTATCAGGTGCCAGACCATGTGGGCAGTGAGAGACAGTAATAGTGGGAGATGACTTGGACCCACACGGAGATTCTAAGCCCCTCCTAAAATCAGACAAAAGGAAAATACTTGAGTCCAGCACTGTAGTTTAGGTCATGCTTTGGTTTTGGTTTTTTGTTTTTGTTTTTGTTTTTTTGAGGCAGGGTTGCTCCGTGTTGTCTTGGAACTCACTCCGGAGATCAGGGTGGCCTCGAACTCACAGACATCTGCCTGCTTCTGTCCCTAGGATTAAAGGCATGCGCCACCAACGCCCGGCGTAGGTCATGTTTTGTTTTGTTTTTCTTCAGCTGCGCAAACTTATATAAAATGAGATAGAGTAAACTGGTCGTAACCGGAGATGTTAGCACCAATTCTCAGGGTCTTCAGCAGACTCTCATGTTACTATGTCATATTTCATTTATATCTAAGTCTGATATTGAAGGGGTCATTACTGAGAACACTGCCACAATGAAAAGGGAACCGACTGTCTCTTCTGTTCTTCTCTTCATTTTTCCTGCAGACAAGATTACGGTGTGCACGAGATGGCGGCCTTTGTGCTGCTGCTTGGCCTCGGGTCGGAAGGCGCAGCAAGGAGAACCAAAGAAAAGCCGTGACGGCAAGAGCTGCAACCTGCTGCAAACCAGGCTGTTGAGCAACCAATGAACTCAACCCTGTCAGATGAAGATACCAGCCTCGGCGCACTCACTCCAGAATGTGGCGATGGCTGCCTCACCCCCAACATCCAGAAGGTTTTATTTTGTCACCCCCAAGGGAAACCCTTTGATGTTAAGAGAAGCTTTTTCCTTGCTAGCCGCTTTGGTTTATCCCCCGCCAGTCGCCTGGGCTCTGCCGCGCCAGCCTGTTTCGAGAGCCGCATGAGTCCCAAATAAACACACAGGAGGCTATATTCATTATGAAGCTGTTGGCCTTGCTTGTCTCTTACTGGCTAGCTCTGCTTTAAGTAATTACCCCATAATTGTTAATCTAAGTATGTCTCTTACCGGAGAATAGTTCTGGGCTCCTACCCCCATGGCGGTTACATGTTGACTCTCTTGTGTTTCTCCTACCCAGAATCCTCCTGGATTCCTAGCCCCACCTATCTAGATTCCTATTGGCCAGACAGTGCTTTATTAGCATAAGACTTCCCCAACATCTCCTCTTTTCTGTTTAAACAAAAAGAAAGGTCTTAACTTTAACATAGTCAAATTGTATATGACAGAACAGTTATCAAATAAGAACATAGTTACAATATTTTAGCAAGATTTAAAGAAAATATCATCCATCCCATCCTTGTAAGTCCAAAGTCCTATATGTAGCTTATCTTTTATCATAACTAAGGAAAACTATAATTATAACTATCTGTCTTCAACTCCATCAAAGACCACAGAAGGATAATATATAAACACTAGGATTGACAGAGATATCTTGCTACCTGGACAGTCACCCAAAGTTCCTCTGTAACGTTGGGGCATCCATCTTCAGCCCATAGGCCACAATGTGTCTGGAACACTTCTCAGCAAAGCAGGAAATTTCAAACTGTCCATCTGCGTTGGCAGTCTGTCAGTCATTTTTCTTTGTCCTGCAGAAAGTCTCGTAGACTCTTCATCAAGCAGGAACCCTGTAAGACTGAGTTCAGTAGTCACTTTCCTGTGGGTCCTGCATGTCCAGATGACACAACAACAGTCAAACAATCTAGGCAAGAGCAGTTTCTTTCCCAAATGGCTAATCTTGCCATGTTGAAAGCAAACTTTATAACGAGTTTCTTCGATGCCCATCTTCCTCTCAGACGTAATTGGTGCTGTCAGGAGCAGACATTTCTCATTGTCAAGACACACCCTAAACCATTTTAAATGCCATGTTCTGAAGGTCTTTGAGAGGTTTGAAGACTGTCCATCTCAAATATATTTCTGTATATCTAGAAAACCTAACTTACCTAACTATAAGTTCTGACTATTATAAGTAATCTATAATCTGCATTCAATTATGCATTACGTTGTAAAAGATCAGTATAAGCACAATACTTCATCAAGAGGAGAAATATAAGCATCACAAAATTGACCTTGAATTTGTATCAATAAATTAAAAACAATACCCATACCATAATTCCCCTTTTTACCCTTAAAAAGAGATTGGCTGTGATCATTAACCAATTATAAACAACCCATTTAAATGAAAACAAAGATTTATAAACAAGATGGGAATTGGGACGTCGCTCATTCCAAACTGCTTCCTGCTGGAAGGGGGCGCTGTTTATACCATGGGGATCATGACAAAACCCAGAAGCCTGTATAAGTCCTTATTTTTATGGTCTGTAGAGCTGTATCATCTTCGCTGTCTCAGTTGTTGAAACACCTGGTCCACTGCTTCCGGGGGTCTTGGTTCGTGAAACCACAGAAGCCTGGAAGGAATTCTCAGCTTTTCATTTTCTGTAGAAACATAAATAAAAACTCCTTTTCCGAGTAACATATCCTTACACTTAAATTTTGAAGTCAAGGCATTTTTAAAAGATAGAAGTTGGATTAATTCAGCAGCATTTATAATCAAGTGTACTTTAGCAGCAGTTCCTTCCTGAGCAAGCAAAAAACTGAAAAACACAATAGCATACAGTATCCAGACTCTCTGTGTATTTTCCATCTTTACGTGGCTTATTTATTTATTTATTATTACTTTATTTCTTTCACTTTTATTTATTTTTCTTTGAGACAGGATTTCTCTTTGGAAATCTGCCTGCCTCTGCCTCTGCCTCTGCCTCTGGAGTAAATCTTATCGGCGTGCGCCACCGCAACGCCGGCTTTTGTATTTATATACCACTTTGCCGTTTCATTTTCTCTCTCAATCTCACATATATTTTTAAACACACTGTAAACCTTTAGAGGTTTTCTTCGTTTAAGTCTGACTTTACTGTAAATCTTTATGTTTTTCTGGCCACGTGTCTTATCTGTAAAACCGCGACTGTTTTAAACTGCCTCTTTTTTTTTTTTTTCCAAGATGGCGGGCGTAAGCATGATTCCATCTTACCTCCTCAGTCCATGCTGACCTCCAGCAAAGCTGCCACTTCCAGCTGTACATACACACTTTTCAATCGTTAGCAGAGTCTCTTAAAACAATCTTGCTTTTTTTTTTTTTTTTTTTTTTTTTTTATGCCGAGTCAGGAAGACTCCCGTAAGCGAGCCACGTGAATCTCGGCTTGTCGTTAGCAAAACAGAGCACACCTGAGAAAAATGCTGCTACCAAAATCTGTGCTTCTCTCTGTTCTTCTGTTTTTAAAATTCCTTTAAAGCTTTTGTTATTTTGCGTGGAAATTCATGATCCCACTCCTGATCACCATTATGTTAAGAGAAGCTTTTTCCTTGCTAGCCGCTTTGGTTTATCCCCCGCCAGTCGCCTGGGCTCTGCCGCGCCAGCCTGTTTCGAGAGCCGCATGAGTCCCAAATAAACACACAGGAGGCTATATTCATTATGAAGCTGTTGGCCTTGCTTGTCTCTTACTGGCTAGCTCTGCTTTAAGTAATTACCCCATAATTGTTAATCTAAGTATGTCTCTTACCGGAGAATAGTTCTGGGCTCCTACCCCCATGGCGGTTACATGTTGACTCTCTTGTGTTTCTCCTACCCAGAATCCTCCTGGATTCCTAGCCCCACCTATCTAGATTCCTATTGGCCAGACAGTGCTTTATTAGCATAAGACTTCCCCAACACTTTGAGTCATGACCAAAACTGTCTACATGGGCCGAGAGTCTCGAGGAAAGTTGTAGACATGAATGAGTCGTGCCGGCTGGTCAGTAACTTTATACACCGATGGGATGCATGGCGTTCCCGAGGCCACCAGCTGGGAATGTGGAGAAACACCGAGCCTAGGCTGCTTCGAGAGCCCAGGGCTGGAGCATACCATGTGCAAGGTCACGGCAGGCCAGCAGTGCCCGAGGTGCCAGGAGCGCAGCGTCACCTCGCTGAAGAGAGCGCTGACAGTGCTGACAAGCCATTCTCTGATGAGCTGGTTAGTTAGTTAGTGGCACTAAACTGTAAATCACAGGATCGAGGATAAAGAAGGCAAGGTCACGACCCTTGTTGCTTTTATCCTTCTGCTGCCCGTGTCTGTATCCTAGTATGTGGTAAACACTGTTGGTACTAAACTGGATAAATGGGGAAAAAAATAGCCCAGTACAGCATAAATCAATTAAAGGTTGTAACTGATCCTAGAATACAGGTTCATATTCTCCCTCTCTCTCCCACAAACAGAATTCCTTCCTGGTTTCGCTATAAAGCTGCCCCAAGGCTGAGTCTACCTGAGTGGACAGAGGCAAGGGGAGAAACTCCGCGCCAGAAGGTGAATGAGGGTGAGACACGCGCCCGGTGCTGCTCTCCAAAGACGCGTGAGGCCACCTGAGTGCAGCTGCCGCCGACCAGCCTGTCCTCCAGAGTCTCAGTGCCACAGGCCAGCACTGCACAGTCTGCGGTCCCCCACCGGAATTCCCATCTTGGGGCTGCTGGGTAGAGAAACGAACCAAAGCTCTGCTCACAGCCCAGCAAAGTCTCGCTGCTCGGGAGCTGTGCCTGCGGACTGGCAAACTACGGGGAATACAGAAGGCAGCAGCGGGAATGTGATGTTTATGCCAAGTTTCAGGCAGGGTCGTCTCCAGTCTTGATGCTTTCTCTGCCAGCTTTAAGTCCTCAGAGTTATCAGGGCATGGAGCACGGACGGTTATCATTGCTCCTGCTTGCCATCGTCCCTTTAACCTGAGCCGACTCTTTCTTTTTATGTTTAATTTTAAATAAATGCGTGTAAACGAATGCCACGTTGTTATGTTTTTCTTCCAGTACGTGGCTCACTATGTCTTGATATCCCCAATGTTTTTTACATCGATTTTTTACCTCTCAGTCTATTGAAACTACAAGATGCTGGCAGTCTACCAGTATAGATCACTAGAACAGCATTTGGCATTTGGGGACTTGTTAGCTGGATTCTCCTTGTTAGCATGGTGGCTGCTTAATAAACCCTGCTCACATTCACTGTCAGGGTGGCTGGCACATGTACAATCAGAGCTCAATCTGTATTCTGCGGTACGAGGGGGGTGATTTAGGGGAACGCCTGGGTCCTGAACGATAAACAAGGGTGCAGGTGGAGGGTGTAGTCAGTGAGTCCGTCCTAGGGTCACGCTCATGTGGCAGGTCTGATCCTGCATTTGTTTGCCGAAAAGGAGAGCGGGGTCTCCCGCAGAATGACAGCCCAAATAGTCTCTTCTTGGCTCATGTTCAGTTCATATGTTAGCAACCTCTTTTCCGCACCATTTGTATAGTGGAGGGGGCCAGCCAGCCCCAGGAATAACTTGTTTTTGTTCTGTTTTGTTTTATGATGTGCAAGAAGAAGCCAGCCCTTTCTCTGTACATATTGCTTCTTTCCAGGGAAGAAAATCAGAGACCCAGGACAGCAGCTCTTCCTCAGGCTGGGAGCATCTTCCAGAGAGGTGTAACGGAGAACACACTGTCCACACCTCTGAAGCAAGCGGGAACTCTGGCTTCTAGCCGGTTCCTGGGATCTCCCAGAATCTGTCACCTCATCCTCATCCGAGGTCTGGGAGACATGGGAGTGCCACATAAGAACAGTGTTTCTGACCCCATCCCCTCTTGAGTGCGTACGTGTCACAAGATTCCTTGCGTGGACTTTCAAATATTAGGTTCTCATCACATCCCGTTTCTGTTCAGCAAACCCACAAGGGCGCTCCTTCGGTTTCACTTTGTGGCTTTGTATATAAGTTGATCAGGCTGGTTTCCAAAGCCCCAGAGTTCCCCTTTGCCTCCCGAGTCTCCCATGCCTGCCTGCCTGCCTGCCTGCCTGCCTGTGTCTTCATTGCCCTCGCCTCCCTCCTACAGAAAGAGGGCTTGCCTCCCAGGCCCTTCTTTTTCTATCAGTCCCACCTGATGAGAAGCAGCCCAAGTGTCCCTGGTACTTGTTAGGGAAGTAAGTGAAAAGTAAACTTGTAGCTGAAAGGAAAGGTGAGAGGCAGATCCCACTATGCAGCAACCATGGAGGTACCCAGATGCCAGAGAAGGGGTCCAACGTCCTTGTCTGTGCAGTGTGGCTGTATGATAAGATCTGGCCCTCTGCACTCCTGCGGATCTCTGTGGGGGAGTTTCAGGCCACCGCAGCCAGCCCTCCTCACCGTCAGCGGGACGCCCACTTTCTCTCTCAGGCTCTCTGAACAGAAGTGGTGTGGTCTGGGCCCGAGTCCAGGTTTCATCACGAGGTACGGAACACCGGGTCGCTACTTCTCCCCAGTAACTGCACCCTCAACTGGACTATGCCTTTCCTTAGGTATTTATATAGTGGCAGTCACAACGGCCCAGGAATGAGCTGAAGTCAGAGGAGACCGTGCCCCTAACAGCTGTGCTATGCAGCTGTTCTGCCAACCTGCTGTTGACAGGTTGTTAAAGGACAGGAGAAAAGGTATTTTAAAAGCTGGAGCCGGGCGTTGGTGGCGCACGCTTTTAATCCCAGCACTCGGGAGGCAGAGGCAGGCGGATCTCTGTGAGTTCGAGGCCAGCCTGGTCTACAGAGCGAGTTCCAGGACAGCGTCCAAAGCTACAAAGAAACCCTGTCTCGAAAACCCAAAAAAAAAAAAAAAAAAAAAAAGGGGCTGGAGATTTTGTCCCATGAGTCTGGCCTTCACATAACAAACCTCCTAATTGTAGGGACTGTTTGTTGTTAAGCAGGAGCGAGCTGCAGTTCGAGGAAGAACCCTGAGTTCCAGAGGCAAAGGGCAGGACTGAGCACCTGGTCCTTCTGCACAGGACCCGAAGTTTCACTCCCTCCCACTCAACTAGACAGATCAAAAGGCTGCCTTCTTAATTCCAGTTTCAGTGAAGAGGGAAAGGTTGCTGCTTATGCGCCTTTGAGGCGAAATAATCTGGTGTCACGGAGCGTGCCCACCTCCTCACCCGTCTCCCAGGGCAGCCAGTCAGTCTTTTAATCCCGAAAGCCCCTTGACAACGAACGTATCTGAAAGTGAACACAGGGCACTGCGACCACCACTCATTTCTTTTTTTCTTTTTTTTTGGTTTTTCGAGACAGGGTTTCTCTGTAGTTTTGGAGGCTGTCCTGGAACTCACTCTGTAGACCAGTCTGGCCTCAAACTCACAGAGATCCGCCTGCCTCTGCCTCCCGAGTGCTGGGATTAAAGGCGTGCGCCACCAACGCCTGGCTGACCACCACTCATTTCTAAGACAACGAATGGGGGGTTCAAAGAGGCTGACGTCTGAAGTGCACCCTCACTTCTCGCTGAGGGAGGGCTGGGACAAGACGACTTGGACATCTTTCACCCTTGGTGCTTGTGAAGCTGGCTAAGGTTCCCAGAGTCGCGACAATGACAGTCACAAGGTGTTTCACGGCAACGGCAGTTGTAACAACAAAACAGAGGTCCTAGGCACCTCAGAAAGATCTACCGTCTCTTTTTACTCTCAGAACAGTCCATACAGAGTAGATGCTGCTACCTACAGACTGCAGGCAGCGTTCAAAGTCTTGTGTATAACTGTCCCCTGCAGGAGCAAACAAGGACAGTTTGATTTCCTAGGTCACATTTCTAGCCCATCGTCTGTATTTGGCAGAAGAAAACCACACTTGTCCATAACTGTAAGGAAAGGTAATTCTGATTGCTCCTGAATAAAATATACCTTGCCATTTGTCTTGATGATGAAATGGTGCTGTCATCATTATTATTCTTATACAATTAGATTGCTACACTATACTAAGTAAACAATTGAAAACAATTTTCCATAAATAATTATTAAGTGTTTACCATATATTTTTAACCTAGAAAGTGGTCTATCAGTTTCACGAGAAAGATAAACACGCCTACAGAAGAGTGATCAAAAGGCATTATCTGAAAATTAGCTAAGGAAGAAATAATCATTAAACACTTGAAAACATTTTTTTCTCACTAAATGGAAAAATGATGTGCTGTCATTTAAAATATTTAAGCAAAAGTCTCTCTCCCTCTCTCCCTCTCTGTGTGTGTGTTTTTCTGTGTGTGTGTGTTTCTCTGTGTGTGTGTGTGTCTGTGTGTGTGTCTCTGTGTGTGTGTCTGTGTGTGTGTGTCTGTGTGTGTGTGTCTGTGTGTGTGTGTCTCTGTGTGTGTATGTGTGTGTGTCTCTGTGTGTGTGTCTCTGTGTGTGTGTGTGTCTCTGTGTGTGTGTGTCTGTGTGTGTGTCTCTCTCTGTGTGTGTGTTTCTCTGTGTGTGTGTGTCTGTGTGTGTGTGTCTCTGTGTGTGTGTCTGTGTGTGTGTCTCTGTGTGTGTGTATGTGTGTGTGTGTCTCTGTGTGTGTGTGTCTGTGTGTGTGTCTCTGTGTGTGTGTGTTTCTCTGTGTGTGTGTGTCTGTGTGTGTGTTTCTCTGTGTGTGTGTGTCTGTGTGTGTGTTTCTCTGTGTGTGTGTGTGTGTTTCTGTGTGGTCTACTTGAGTGTGGGCCCCCCACAGCAGCAGTAGACGCTCTGGGGCTGCAGTTACAGATGGCTGTGAGACTTGGTACGGGCATGCTGGGAACGGAACTCTGGTCCTCCGCAAGAGCAGCGTTGCTACCAAGCATGCAGTCAGGGTATCCGTTTTGTGGGGCAGCATCTGCAGGTGGTTTATGTAACGACACTTGCCAGAGACCCTGCCTGACTCTTTTTCTTAGGTATATAGAGTTTTTTTCCCCTCACACAAATGCACTTCTTCTGCCCATGGTGCCCGCTGCTCTGCTGTTCAGTAAGGACAGCTCTTTCGTTAGCAATTGAAGTACAGCTGAGGTTTGAGTCACTGTGGTTTTGTTTCTACTTCTCCCAGGAAGTGCTCCTGACTGGCCAGTCAGGAGTCCCCACCTCTCTGATGTTCTCAAGTGGCAGAGGCAAGACCAATCGGAAGAACCGTCTTCCTTGCTGGAGGAAGGTGGGTGAGGGCCGCACCATGGGAACACTCTGGCTCTGCAACAGGGTACAAAAGTGACAGCGTCTGGCCCTGCCATCCCACAGAGCACCTACACAGGACGAATCTGGTCTACACAGAGGCCGGGCGGACGTGGTGACAAGAGTCTGGGGAAGAGTTCTTAGCTTCCTCCTGCTGTACCCTGCGGACATCCCTCTTCTGTGAGTCCATACAGCCCCTCTAGTGTTTAAGATGTGTGGAGGATTTCTCTCCCTGTTGCCTAGACACTTCCAGCCCTGTGCTGTACAAGTACAAAATTCTTTGCTATATGTCTCTAAAATGCCATAGCTTAGTGTGTGTATGAAGACTGGAAAACAGCCTATCCAAAGAAAACACAGCTCTATGGATATAAGATACCGTCTCAATAATATCTGCTCACTTTGAATGTATTAGGCTCTGTTTAATCTTTCCCACACTAGTAGACTTTCAAATTTCAAGTTTTCTGCTTATGTAAATGCTGTTTCCCATACATGTTGCTGTATCCTCTTTGTTAAATCATCCATTTAGAAGCTTAGTCATCAAAAGACTTTCCACAAGAGCCTTATGACCTTTAACTCTTTTGCCTGCCACCTTTTTTCCCCTCAAAAGTATTGTAATAATTTCTTCCTGATCAAAAACTTACGACTGCAGCCGAAAGTTGGTGGCGCACACCTTTAATCCCAGCACTCGGGAGGCAGAGGCAGGCGGATCTCTGTGAGTTTGAGACCAGCCTGGTCTACAGAGCAAGTTCCAGGACAACCTCCAAAACAATACAGAGAAACCCTGTCTCGAAAAAAACAAAAACAAAAACCCAAACTTATGATTGCTATTCACATTCTCACCGTGTAATATATGTCACATTATAATGTATATATTTGTTTATCTTGTAAGCCATTCTCCTGGTGAGTTCTCAGTAGGTAAAATGCAAGCCCTAGAGTCTTAGACTCCATTGGCCACGTGTGCGTCGACTTTGCTTACCTCTGGCTCCCAGTGCTGTAGGGGTTCCGTGTTCTCACAGCAGAGTTGTGAACTGAACTCTCTGGCTGTCACAACGTGATCCTGAGGGAATCTTGAAAAATTACGGAGAGATGCGTTGTGAACGTGTTTCCGTGGAACGAATGACCACTCAGCATCACCAGTCTGGGATGCTTGTCTTTTCTTTCTTCCCTCTGTACTTCTGGGCTCGGCTTCTGACCTCTCCATTTCCCAGAATCCAAGCCTGCAGTAGCCATAACCATCTTCCCGTCTCCCTTCTAGATGGACCGTTTGGGAGTGACAAGATGCCAGCTAGCAATAGTGCACAAAGTAAACAGTGTTGCTATCATTCGGTTGCTTCAATGTTACTAACATGTAAGAAGTCCTTGGTGTAGCTTACGACCCAGTGCTCTTACACTTCCCTGCTAGCTTCGTAAGATTTAAACTAGCTTCGGCAATGTGCTTCTGAGCTGCTCAGGTTCGCTCTTCCTTCCTAACTCCGAATGATTTCTTCTCACCGAAGGTCAGTATCTCTGGCATCAAGTTCTAAGTCCAGGAAGCCAAGCATCCATTCTCTAAAGAATAGACACCACAGGGTATAACCAGGAAAGGATGCCACAGGCAGAGCCAGGCTCTGAAGCCTGCTCCAAGGACAGATAAGAGCATTGCTTTCTACCGAGACAAAGACCTTGGAGAATTCATGAGAAACAGTCAGATCTGGGATAGGGATACACAAGACAAATGGGCCCAGAAGTTCTCTCCAAAAGATGATTCTCTGCACTAAAGCATAGACTACGCCGTGTAGTAGTCTATGCTTTAGACTACTAAAGAAGAAGAGTGGACAGATGCTTTCAAAACTCAACACAATTAGCCAGACAGTTTTATGATGTACATCACTAACATGGATGCAATGTTTCCTTTTGAAATTATCTTCTATTCTGAGTCACTGGCTTAGCGTTGAATTGGTAAGCAAAGACATTTGCTGGTAACCTCGCAAAGACTCTGACACGGAAAGAGCAGGCAGGAGGCTGGGCTGGGAGGGTGATTAAGACATAGAGGAAACCGAGTGGTTTGACAGCTGTGGAGTCTACTGATGAGACCAGCAGAATTATAGATAGTGCTGTGAATGGGAGTGAGTTTAGGGAAGTGAAAACCCAGTCAAAACGGGAACCGTCATTTACCTTCAGGGTGGGCGGAAGTATCAGTGAAAGCGACAGAAGGTAAATGACGCACTTTGATGGGAGAGTGAGTTGGCGTGGTAGAGGCTTAAAAGGAACAGCGGTTAGAGACACCGACGTGGAGGCAGAGTCGGCAGAGGAACCAGCTGAGGGCATGTCTGCCGTGCCTCTGTGGGCCCATCGGGGCCTCTTCCTTGAGGACATCTGTGTCCAGATGTGAGCAAGACCAGAACGAAAGCCCTAAGATGGAGGAGAGTGTTCCTTGTCGGAGCAAGAGCAACAAGGGGAAGAGGGTTCATTGCTGGGCACATCATTAATTCTGGAAATGAGTAAAATGTGTTTGCTCTAGATGAAAGTGCTGCCCGGAACCATTTCTTCTCTCTCTCGGTGGGTGTGTTCTCCTTCTCCTCAGCCCTTCCCCCATCTCCCATTGTTTTCCCGTACCCCACCTCCCCCACCTCCCCCACTCTTTCCCTCTGTCTCTCCCCCTCTCTCTCTCCCTCCCTCTCTCTCTCTCACACACACTCTCTCTCTCTCTCTCTCTCTCTCTCTCTCTCTCTCTCTCTCTCTCTCTCTCTCTCTCTCTCTCTCACACACACACACACACCCTCCCTTATCTACTATCCTCAATTCTAACGTAGTTATTTTAGAGTAAATATTAGGGGGGATCTTCAAATAAATTCTGAAATCTCGAGACTAACAATTTTCCACTGGGCTACATACTCAGAGTGAGAGGTGGTGTAAGTGTTCCCTGTGTGCAAATGCAACGTTTCATCACAATAGAAAGTCTCTCTTCCACTGCTTTGGCTCTACAGGGAAAGAATGAAGTCTCTGGTCACCAACTACCCATGGCCTTTGCCACTGCTGCTGCTGCTCCTGCTGCTGCCGCCAAGGCTTCAAGGGGACTATTGGGATCACTATGAATATGAAGTAGACCCAGAAACCCGTGACTACATAAGAGAACTTCACTCTACAGGGCCTACCCAGCCACCTACCAAAGAAAGACTCAGAGAAAAGATCATCGCTGAACCCCAGCGACCTTTCTATGGTGATGATTACTGTGACAGCGAAATCAAGTCTAAAAACATCCACCACAGGCTTCTCTGTTACCCAGAGCACTACTTTGTAAAGGTGGACTACCAGGTCCTAAAGGATGCCTGCCACGGCAGACGGGTGAGATGTAAGAACGGGCCTGGGGTTTGCAGGAGAAGCACGGACGTAATAAGTGGAGTGCGGTGTACCTTGCTCAGTGGCAAGAGGATGCCATACTGCTTATATGAAAGCAGCTTCACGAGAGGGTATGCAGTTGTCACTTGTCAGTGGGACAATGACTCCAATGACTTTATTCCTAACAATGTACTTGATATGCTGGTACCCAACTAGCAGGAAAGTATCACACACCAGAAAGTGTGTCTCTTCCGCCTCTCGCCCCCGACATTCTAGTTTTCTCCAGGCAGTTATATCTGGGAGTAGCTCGCCCTCTAGATACTGACACTGTTAATCAGAAGTGAGAACGACACTTTCAGCCCATTCGCTCTGATCATCTGCTTCCCTCCTTCCCTGTCCCCAGAGCATTGAATGGCAACAAGAGCTCTGCTCACAAGACTCTATCAGATGTTGATGGAGATTTTCTGGTCCAGCTGTCTCTCGTGGCCCTTGAAACCCAAATAAACACACAGATGCTATATTAATTATAAAACTGTTGGCTGGTGGCTTGGCCTTCTTATTGGATAGCTCTATCTTAATTATTAAACCATTTCTATTAATCTATGTATTTCCACGTGGTCTTGGCTTACCGGAGAATGCCTTGCACATCCTCTATTCCCAGGTTCTACGTGCTTACGTTTCCCAGAATTCTCCTCCTCTCCTAGTCCTGCCTATCTCCCTGCCTCTACTGGTCACAGTGTTTTATTCCTCAACCAATGAGAGAAACATATACACAGAAGGACAACCCCCATCAAGCAGGTGTTTTCCTAAAGGTCACAGAATGTGCATAACAATAAATGTCTGTAGCAAACAGATGGTCAGCGGTCGGTCAGCGTGAAGAGAAGCAGGGGGCAGGGTGTGGGAGCTCAGGCTTGCATTTTCAGTGCTTTGGAGGCTAAGGCAGAAGTTCATGAGTTCAAGGCCAGTCTGTGTTATCAGGCAAGATCCTGGCATAAACAGACAAACAAACAAACAAATAAAACATAGTTTGGAATAGCCGTCTGAAGGATCATCAAAGTTTTCATGTGGTTTTTCTGGTTCAGCAATCTAGCAACTGGCTGTGAGGTTCCTGCGGGGATTTCTAGGGCTGGATGGTGACTTCACATGAACAATTTACGCAGCCTTTCATGCAGTGTGTCTTTACAATGTTGTGTTCGTATATTTCCCTTTTCATGTTCCTTATATCCAACACAATACATGGCACCATGACAGGAAAACCTGGCCAGGAATACCTCAGCATAAAGGCCTTTGAGTACTGGGAACGCCAGCTCCCCAGTGCGCTTTCCAGTTGCCAATGTCTATGTGAGAAACCCTACACCTTGTGGGAGCTCAGACATTGTCTTCGAGAAACAATTCCTCATGCTCCGGGATAGTCACAATTTCCTGTAGTTCTTTTTCCTGGCTTTTCCAGGGGATGAGGTATACCCCACCCCAGAAAAAGGCCGGAGATACTGAGACAAAGGAAATGTCTATTCATTTTAAGCAAAGATTTTCTCCTTTTTTTCCCCTTTTCAAACTTTTGATGGCTTTCAAACTTCACTATTAACTAAAACTTTCTGAAAATTCTACGAGGATAGCAATGGGGGGGGGGCAACCTGGGTGTCCTTGCCCACTCTACCCCAGGTTCCCTCCTCAGCTCTTTACTGATATTTTCAGAGTCGAAGCGGAGCCTCTAATTTACCCGTCAGGTGATATAAATCAAGGCCTGCACCTGTAAGTCCTTTTTCCTTATCCAAAGGGGGTGGGGCAGGAGGAAACCACGCTTCCAAAAGCCTTAAAGGCAAGGCCTTTGAGTATGATGTTGGATGAGTGAGGCCCTGATGAGCTCTTTTGTACCACCTGTACACTACGGGCACAGCCCTGACAGTGAGCTGCAGGAATTCTACTCATGGCCGGCCAGGTATAGGCTATGAAGCATCTCATCTGGGTCATGGTCACGTCATGGTCTTTGAGTTTTACAATGTACACGCAAACATATTTATAGGAGAATAGTATAGTACAATAAAAATAGTCATGTAACATCCACTCCAGAGTTGCCAATCTTACCCCAAAATCCTTCTAAAAATATAATCATTGGGCAGGCGTGGTGGCACACGCCTTTAATCTCAGCACTCAGGAGGCAAAGGCAGGAAGATCTCGGTGAGTTAGAGGACAGTGTGATCTACACAGAGAGTTCCAGGACAGCCAAGACTACATAGAGAGCCTTGCCTCAAAAGAGAAAAGAGAAATACAAATACAATCACGGCTGGATGACTTTTCCTTCTTATCTTATACAGCACGAGAAACTCAGAAATTGGCTTCTACTTACTGGGTGCCCTAAAAAGCCTGCTGCGCTTCCAATGTGTCCCACGGTCATTGCCAATGGGATAATGTTAGAATTTGGGGCTTGAAAAGGTTATGATGCAGTGAAGGACCGTTTCTCACGGATGGAATTTGGGTTACTATAAAAGAAGTTTCATGTAGGGTTCAGTCGCCTCTAGATGCAGTAAACTAGATGCAACTCTCAGAATTGCGAAAATATGTTTCTGGCCCTTATAAGCTATTATTTTTTTTAAGAAACCTCATTTTTTTTACTTTGAAAATTACGTGTGTGTGTGTGTGTGTGTGTGTGTGTGTGTATGTACAAACAGAACATACATGTGGGGGTCAAAGGAAAACTTGTGAGAGTTGATTCTCTACATCCAGCACATGGGTCCTGGAGATTGAACTCAGGCCATCAGTCACTATAGCAACCATCTTTTTTTTTTTTTTTTTTTTTTTTTTTTTGGTTTTTCGAGACAGGGTTTCTCTGTGGCTTTGGAGGCTGTCCTGGAACTCACTTGGTAGTCCAGGCTGGTCTCGAACTCACAGAGATCCTCCTGCCTCTGCCTCCTGAGTGCTGGGATTAAAGGCGTGCGCCACCAACGCCCAGCTTATAGCAATCATCTTAAATTTGCTGAGGCACCTCACTGGTGCAGCCTGTGTTATTTTGTTATGGTAACACAAAACCAATGAAGTCAAGCCTGCATGACAGTGTTCAGTTTTACTGAGCAAGACTTCGTAAGCACTGCGCCCCTACTTCCATCAGTAATACCTCTCCAAATGCTGAATTTCACTGGTTTTTATTTTTGACAACCTTCTATATGCATACAATGTATTTGGATCCTATTTACCCCCATAGCTCCTTTTATTCCCCCTTTGTCATAGTTAGTTCCCAACTGCTACGAAGAGACACCACGACCAAGGCAATTCATAGAAGAAAGAATCTGCTGGGCCAGCCGGGCGTTGGTGGCGCACGCCTTTAATCCCAGCACTCGGGAGGCAGAGGCAGGCAGATCTCTGTGAGTTCGAGGCCAGCCTGGTCTACAAAGTGAGTTCCAGGACAGCCTCCAAAGCCACAGAGAAACCCTGTCTCGAAAAACCAAAAAAAAAAAAAAAAAAAAAAAAAAAGAATCTGCTGGGCCTTGCAGTTTGAGAGGATTAGTCCATGACCGTCACCATCGGGAGCATGGCAGCAGACAGGCCAGTATGGCACTAAAGCAGTAGCTGCGAGCCTGCATCTCATCTACAAGTATGAAAGGGGGAGAGGAAAAGAGAGGGAGAGGGGGAGGGAGAGGGGGAGAGAGAGAGAGAGAGAGGAGAGAGAGAGAACACAAGTGAGTGAGCTAAGTAACTTGGAAAGTTTGAATCAGCCAAGTCCACTTACAGTGACACACTTCCTCCAGCAAGGTCACCCCTCCTAACCTTTCCCAGACAGATCCACCAACCTGAGACCCCCTATTCAAATGTAAACCACCAGACCCTCCCCCATTCCTGCAGACCTCCTTTGTCATCTCAACTAGTTCCCTCCTTTACATGCATCTTGTGTGTCTGCCTCCCTGAGTTTACGTGAGCTTGGGTGCGAGGCTATTTACTGCAGCATGGGCAACTTACCAGCTGCCAGCTACACCACTAAAGAAAATAAGTACTCCTCCCCTGGCAATCCTTAACTGTGAAAGCGTCCTCAGAGGGCTTTAAGAATCCCTCCCCCAAGCTGGAGAGATGGCTCAGAGGTAAAGAGCACTGGTTGCTCTTTCAGAGGTTCTGAGTTCAATTCCCAGCAACCACATGGTGGCTCACAACCATCTATGATGAGATCTGGTACCCCTTTCTCATTTAAGTTGTATATGCAGATAGAGTACTCATATACATAAGATAAATAAAAAAAAAGAGTCCCTCCCCATCCATGATGAAATGCTGAAGGGTCAAATCTTGTACAAGTCTTATGCAGGCAGCCATAGCAGCTGTGTGGATGCAATGGTCATGTCATATACAGAGGACAATGTTTCCAGAAGGTAACCCTTCTTTCTCCACTCTCCAGCTCTTACAGTCTTTCAACCCCCTAGTTCATGTTCCCTGGGCCTGGGAGGGGACGATAGAGATGTCCTATGAACTGAGCACTCAAATGTCACTTATTCTCAACATTTTGACCAGTTGTGGGTCTCCACAATAACTGTTACTCTCTGTAAAAAGAAGGTCCTCCACATAAGGTACAAGGCAAACACTAGTCTTTGGGTATAAACAACAGTTTAGAAGACAGCAAGGTTCCTTGTCACATTGGCAACAGATTTCCTCACAGAGCCTATGACATCCTCAGGCATAGACTTTTGACCAGATTGACAGTACCGGGTTTATAGTCCCTCTTGAGCCTCAAATCCAATCAAAAAGTGTTTGGTTCCACCCAACTCCACTGCCCCTACCCCCACAATCATGGCACTATTTCAGAAGTGGGCATATCCAGTGTGTCTTGCCTTACAAACTGGTATTTGTTGATTGACATTGTCTCTGAGGGAGAACTGTCAGATGGAATGTCAGCAAAGGTGTTCTGCAGGATGCCTCTTCATTTTACCACACAGAAGTCTTTTAGTTTCATGAGGTCTCTGAATGGGGAAAAAAAAATGAGGACGTGACGGCCACCAGATATGGGCTGAGGAAGAGGTTTATTATAGGTATAAGGGAAAAACAGTCAGAGGCATCTGGAAGGGTCCAGACTGAACTGGGAGAGAGCCAGAAGCCAAGAGGGCACCCCACCAAGAGCACCAAGAGAACTTGCGTCCAAAGTGGCTGTGGCTATGTAGGGATCAGAGGCTGGGGAAGGGAAGGCCAGCCCAGTCTGTGGTCTGGAGACTTTAGGTTGTGGGGAGGGTGAGAATGTTGGTTTATTTCCCGAGTGACCAGAATCCTTGTTTAGAAAATGTTCCCTGGAGCTGAAGAGAACACTCACTGGTTAAGAGCACTTACCGTTTTTAGCGGAGGTTCCAGGCCCACATGACAACTACCTGTTACACCAGTTCCAAGGCATCTGCCACCTTCGTGTGGCCTCTGCAGGCTCCTCCGCTGATTATCCGGCGCACATATAATCACAGCCTGACGCACATACACACAATTAAGCAAATCTCCAGAAAGGTTGAAAAGACTCTACAGGCATGTGGGAGCAGACCTGCCTGTCTTTTCGTTTGTGTGCTCTCTTCCGCA